ACTCTTATTTTTCTTTCTTTTATTTTACTATTATTTATTATTGTTAAATATTATTTTTACAGTGTGTCCCATGTTAACACTGACGTCACAAAGAATGAACGTTAGTATTCCAGAGTGAATTCAATATCAAGTTCATAACTCTTAACAATACATACATACACATTATCCAAATCCCACATCTATTATCCACTCGCATACAAAAAGAACGACAATTATGAGTTAATAAAAGCACTATAGTGTTTCAGGATGCACAGTTTATTCATGATATTTTGCCTCGCCATTTATTCAACGGGGGCATACGGAAGAGAACAGGGTCAGTTTTGCAGATATTGGTGTAGGACAATCGATCATCAATATTATTGTTGCCCAAGCGGAAAAGCGGAGAGTTGGCCGGAATATGTATGGCATTCATTCCTGTATCCGTGGCTGTGGAGCGCCGGTGAATCTACACTGTTCGACTCGTTCGAGTCTGAAATAATCGTCCACGAAAAAGAAACCGCGAAGCATTGCCCGCCGTTGAGAACCCATTGTCCACGAAGTTACGATTGGTACTCGCCTCCGGCTTCTTGTAGCGACGATGAGGATTGCAACGGATGGGAGAAGTGCTGCTACGACGTTTGCCTCAAGCATAAAACGTGCAAACACGCTGAATAGAGGATGGGCTTGTTCGTTTAGTTGCTTAACACTTTGACAGCCTAACTGATTTCCAATGCGAGTTCCACAGGCTCTAAAGTTGTCAACAAGCGCATAATAAAATAGAATTCGACTGAGAAATAAATCATTAATTGTTAAAGAGAATATAATTTAATAGTAGAGAAGAAACAGAAAATGATTCCATATCTTAGCTATAGTTGTCGACAAAAAGTTAATAAAAAGAGAGGTATCTTAAATGGGATCAAGAACTTTGAATAAGCCTAACATTTTCAAAATTTTCGAATAAATTCTTCTCAAAATTAATAAATTTGAGGTGTCCAGTTGTAGCACAAGATTTCAGACTGAATAATTTTTTTTTTTAGGATCTTAATAATTTTATAATGATTTGCTTCACATTCGGTAAATGTTCTAATACTTCTGAACAAATGTTTGTATTTAATTTCACCTCACTGTGTTCGATAAAATCGTGATTCATTTATGAATTGTGATAAGCATAATTTTTTATTGGCCGTCAAAGTGTTAATGTTTGCAATTATTCTATAAGAGAATCATCGTAGTTTCGTATAGCTTGTAAGATATAGATACTGAGCCCCATCTGAGTGTTCACTGGCTAGAAGATATTACAGTTAACGAATAATTACATTTATCATTTAATAAACTGTAAATTCTAATTAAATTAGCGTTCATAAGTTATGGAGAATAATTTTACAAAAAAGTGATTGATATTCACTTGTTCGCGGGCTCAGTAATTGGAATAAAAATCACGCGTGTTCAATGCGTCGCTGCACGCAATGTTCCCAAACATTTTTCGTTTAATTGTCGTGAGATCCTGCTTAATTAGTATGCCT